GAGGGGGTGGAGGATCATCTTTTTGGTGAGACCTCAATTCTAATCATTCACTTTGTTGGTTGTAGCATAAATTGTGATAATTCAATGTTGTAAGTTGGAAATGATTTAACAAAATAAGTTTTTGAAAGTAAGATACATTACAGCTATGATTATAAAGTTTAATTTATTTATTATTTGTGTGTACATATTTATTTTCATACTTTAGTAATGTGTTGTGGAGTAATAATATATATGTATGAAGATGTGCTATCTTCCCTTTGGCATTCAAAGAAAATCAAAAGGGCAATACGCCAATCTAGCTACAAAAGTTTGTAGCATGACTAAGAGGTAAGAGTCTTACAAAGTGAAAAACTCCAAGTATAAAACCAAATCAAACTTCTTGAAAATTGAACGAAAAGTTATTTGCATTTTGAATTGCCCTCCAATTGCTCAAGTCTTCGCAATCATAGCAAGTACCTTTTAGAATGAACTTCACAATGGGTCAATTCAAGTGTGAAACTTGATTTTATATTTGAACTCAATTTGAACATATCATATTAATAAAACTCATATTTCCTTGCAGATTATAAGATCGAACAATTGAGTATACAAAATTAAAAAAAAAAAAAAATCCAGGGAATAACTCCCTCCTAATTCTATTCTACCGGCTTCATTGCCCTAACTTTCATCAATAATCAATAGTGATTATAAAGCAATTTTACAATCGCCCAACAATCAGCTATATCGTTACCAAGCAATAAGAGATGAGAATTTCTAAAGCTGGGTGAAACCATTTCATGTGCCAAAGCTGCGATCACCAGCGTCTCCGAGTCCAGGAATTATGAACCTGCAAGCATCCATCGAATTAATCAACATTAACACCGTGTGTAACATTTGCCTCAAGATTCAAGCATATATGGTAATAATAACGAACCCTTTGTCATTAACCGTCGGGTCAATGATTCCGGTGTATACTTGTAGCCTGTAAGATCACAAACCCCTCAAAAGATTAGTGAAAGACTTTGGTTTTGTGTTAAAAATTGAATCAAATAGTATAGTGGTTACCCTGGAAACTTCTCACTCAGCTTTTGAAGGGCAGGAGGGGCAGCCACGGCAGATATCTGCGATATGGCAATTAAATGATTTCAGATAACAAAACTAGAGTTTGCATCTCGTATTTTTATACTACACATGAAAAAAGTCGGAAGAGGGATGCGAAATGACGAATGAATTATCACCACCGTATCACAAAGAACAAGTTAAACTGAATATGATTTTGTGAGAGTTATTTACATAAACATCAACAAGGTTGCACAATATTCCTTCCTGACTGCTGCTGCAGTGCAACTGTGCAAGCCATGATGCATTGAATTTTTTGGGCACACAATCACATATACAAATACAACTATTACTATAAAAACACGATAAAAGAAAAAACAAGAGATCGGCTAATTCCCATACCACTTTTATTTGCTTGTTGCCAATTCCACGTTCCTTTAGGAGGTCGAGAGCTGCCACTACTGTGCCACCTGAAATTTGATGTCGGCAAGAAAAACATATTAAAGAAGATAAAAGAACATGGCCATTCGTTGGCGCAAAATTAACTGTACGCACGTGAGATTTCTGTGGATGCGATAACATTCTCAAACAGTATGGTTCCTAGATGAGATTGACATCACAGGTATGACCAAGAAGTAAAGAAAGCGGAACAATTAATACTAGGACAACTGAACGGCAAAAAATAAAACGTTCAATTATTATACAGAACCTAATATTAGTTTTTGATCAATCAAACCACTGCCAARTGCCAAACAATACAAAAAGGAAACAACATGAATTGGCCCAATAGTAAAATGGGATAAGCCGATCCACATTGCCATGAATTTTAACTCTGCCACTCATATATAACATTAAATATCCTATGAAAATTTCAACGTCAATTGTTAGGCTCAAGAAATTATCGAGTGAGATTAATGGAATGCATAAATTAGCCTAGGCACCTATGGTTATTGAAAGGAAACAAAAGGATTTCCATTAAATAGTAGAATACTAAACCTGTTGCAAGCATAGGATCGACCACAAAGATTCGAGAACCTTCTGCAAAATTTTCAGGTAACCTGCCAAAGCCACAGAACATGAATTCGTGAAGAGTTAAATATTAAGTATTAACTACTCGTATGAAATGAAAATCTTCATTATTCATCCAGAATTTTATTAGTGAAACAACGGGGGAAAGTTGAAAAAGCTTTGCATCASGGTTATAAAACAGAGATGACAGAAAGAAGTAAAATCTTGACTATACATGAAGAAAAGCATGGAAACCCCAGAAAAAATARGTGCCAATAAGAAAGTTATATGTTATGTGACTAAGAAATCTTACTTATTAAGATATATAGTTGGTTGAAGAGTCTCCTCATCCCTGCTTATCCCTGAATTTGAAAGAAGAAGATAGTTAAACAAAGTTACAACATAAGTTTTTAGGGAAAAAAAGCRTATGTATTGATTGTGCTATGAATTAGTCCAACAACGTGAATGCTAGTAAATCCTTGACCATATCCAAAATTTTACATATATATATATATAACACATAAGAAATCAGCTTTCGTTAATATTTAGAATCAACGTACACAGATGGTACAGTTTACTGTAGAGAACTTCAATGCGTGTAACTTCCCTTACCAAGATGGTACAGTTTTGTTGCAGGCAACACAGATGATGCGTGTTCTGCAAGAGCTAGACCAGCTCTGAGGATAGGAATTACCTGAAAAAGATAAAAGTAAAATGAACTTTCTAGCTTATTATTTAAGACATTCCCACCAAAATAAAATAGCAAAACTGTATCTTTTATTTATTTCTTAATAGTGTTGTTATCCTTGTAATTATTCTATTATATTTTTTGAGGTGGTTTGAAACAGCAACAAACTGAAAGACATTAATAAAAATGTCCGAAGCCAGGAGAAGAATGGGTAAAAGAATCTAACCGCCACAGGCTCTCTTGGATCAATAAACTCAACTGAGGCAACACCCATGGGTGACTGTATCTCCCCTGTTACAGTAGGCTGATATAGATAGAAACACAGATGTGTAAATGGATTACAAATAAAAACTAAACAACCGAATGACATATTTATTCAATAAGACACATACAACCATAATATCAAACTGAAAACAGTAGAAATATTTCACAGCAAATTATACAAATTGCTGAAGAGTTGGTGTTCATTACAATTTTCAGGAACATCACAAGTAAGGATGCATCCAAAGGAGGGAAAAATCAGCTTCCGGGGTCAACAAGACACATGATGGAGCAAAGGATAGTTCTCAGATAGAAGAAATTGGCATGAAGAAACATCATATTACAATTTACAAATTCTGAAGCTTGTACCTTCTAGGTGTAAAGCATGTTTCTTTTTTTACTTCTAGTTTATACTATATTTTAAGGTAAAAGATGCTCTCCTCTTGAACGTTCCTGCACAATTATCTTAATTCATGTTAAAACATTGATGTGATTCAACTTTCTTATTAAAGACATGCCAAAAGTGAACTCTCAGATTTTAGTAAACAATCGTAAGTCAATTATTTGCATTTGTCTAAGCATTTAGTTCATGATTTCACTTGATAAACAGAAGCTTGAATACAATAGTCGAAGTAGTATCAGAACTAACCAACCAGTCCCTTGAAGCTTCATAAATAAGTAACCTCCCCAGCTCTGCCATAGCATTTTCTGCAATAAATAAAGCGTAAATCTCCAACACAGATTCTTGATGGCATCGGCAAAAAAAAAGGTTCAATAGATAAAATAGCCCTCATAGTCCACAATACACAACTCAACTAACTTGATCATCCTACAGTTTTTCAATTGAAAACTTCACCTCAGGAGGAGGCTTTCTCATTGCTGTCCTCATAAATGAGAAAGGAATCCGATGCTTACTACTCCCAATTATGACTAAGCCTTACTAAAACAAACGCTCTAAGAAGAAGGGAAATTAAATCCAACCTCCGGGGCACATTCGMTATTAAGATACATTAAACAATACGACAAGATATCTTCCAGAATTGCAGGAATACTCACTAAAAATGGGACAAGGAGTTTGTTCATTCCTCAAAACTGAAACCCAGTGCTTGATCAACGGATGAGGTGGAACATAAACCTGTAAATCCACCGACTCCACATAATCAATTCAAATAAAAGTATATCGTTMCGATCTCCTAAAATCCAATCAGTGCCACATTCTACAGCATTCTAATCAGCAGAATTTGATCAATACATTTCATCATACAAAGCCTCACATTGAGCAAACCGCCAAAACGTAAATTAAGATAAGAGCAAGCACTAACAAGCATTCTATCGTCTGAAACTGGCTTCGGCTCGGTGGCCATG